CCGATTTTGTTATAAACGCGGTTTTATGTATATCTTCGGGTCTCATAGCTATTTGATAGTAGCCAGACGTTAAGTCCAAAGTAGACATATATCTTGTCGATTTGATCTGTCTAATGATCTCGTCTATAACCGGCAAAGGGTAAACTGGAAATTTAGTAATACTATTTAGTTTTCTGTAATCGATAGCAAACCTCCAAGCCCTTTTATCCGAAGGAGGAAACTCGTTCTTTTTCCTACATAGTACGACTGGACTCGCGTACTCACTATTTATGGGCGTTATTATTTTATTCTTTAACATCTCCTGAATATGTTCTTCGATGATTACGTCTTTTTGTTTATCATAGCGATAAGGTTTAGTCCTACAAGGTTTTTCGGCATTTAATTGAATCTTGTGCGTCACTATTTGACAGTTTCCTGGTTTTTCTGAAAACAAATGAGAAAAATTACTCACCACTTGCTGTATTGCTTTACTTTCATGGTCATTCAAGATGGCTAAGGTCCAACTTGCAGGTGTCTCCACAGGTTCCACCACCCTCTGGTCCATCTCCAGCACCACGGAACTATCTTGAAAATTTAATTTGGCCCTCGCGGCCCTTAAAAAAGTCCATACCTAAAATAAGAGAGTGTTGCAGGTTTTCACCACAAAAATTAATACTTTGAGATTTTCCTCTTTTACCTGTAGTTTAATGATAACTTTCCCGATGCAGTGACATTGTTTTCCTTGCGCCGCTATAATTTCCGTATTTCTGGTTTTAAATAAGTCGTATCCTATAAAAATTCTTTTTGAAGAAATTTTCACTCATAAAATTTCCTTCTGCTCCTGTATCGATGAGGGCTTCTACTGGTACATCGCCAACCAGGACTTGTATAATTGGTAGCTGTGAGTTTTTTACGATGACCGTATTTAAATGTCTATTTGAGGGTTTTTTTAAAACTTCCGGGGTCTGGACCCTCCCTTTCACAGGCCCCTCTACTCGTTTAAAGCTTTCCTTTCAATCTGTGTCTTCTGGGTACGCGGATGTTTATTTTCAAATTTTCTTTTTGGGCCTTGACCTTCGAGTTTCGATGCGTTAGCTTGATAGTTCTTTCCCCCATAAGAGCGATTTCCATTTCTGGTTTCCTCCTTCCTTCGGGTACTTTGAGAATATGTTTCCCCTCTCGCTTTTTCCGCTATTCTGCGATTTTGAAACTTCACCGCCAATTCGAAGAGTTCCTGCAATGTGCTTGGGTTTCTAATTTCAAAGTAGTCTTGAACAGCGGGTAACAATCTTGGTAATATTATTTCAATAATCTCCGCATCGGGTTTTTTTCCCATACAGCATATCCGTTAGCTTGATTTTTCGTAAAATAAAGTCCGTCAATTCTTGCTATATCCCGTTGATAGAAACTATATAGTTCGGCTTCCAGCCGTGCGCGATCTTTCACTATGGGGAAGGCCTTTACTAACGATTTTTTGAAATTTTCAAATGTATATGTCGGGCTTCCAAATTCCCCTAGAAGAAATTTGCCTATATTTTTCCACCATAGCGCGGCCTGTCCTCTTAGTGCTGATGTGGCGATGGCAACTTTTTGTCTTTCAGGCACAGGGTAGAGCTGAAAGTGGTTTTCTATACCTTCTAGAAAATACCGCCACCGAATTTTTTCCGTCGAAATAGACGTTTGGCTTGATTGATGCTCTCAAAGTCTGGACCAGGTATCCAAATCCTTCTAACTGGCTTGTCATTTCTTGGTGTTGTCCAGCGGCTTCCATCCAATTTTCGGCCATTTCAGTTCGATAAGTGTTCGGGCGCCAATATAACGTTGCGCGCCTCCAACTTGCACGCAACCAAGAGGTGACTGTGAAAACTTGTATAAAAGACAGAGTCTTGTGAAGGGTTTAAGTCCCTTTTTATTCAACGTAATAAATTACAATTGCGTGCTCTTGACGCTTACAAACTGTGCCAACTCGGCAGTCAAATAAAAATAATAACCTGAAAAGAAAAGTAAAGACAAGATTCTAACTACGAGGCTCTCTAAAATAACTAACTCACCGCGTTTTACAATACCGCTGCTAATTCAGCAGACTTGAAGCTCACTGGAACGATTAACACTACTTCCCGCCAAGCACATAGGCCGAAACGCGGGGTTCTTCAATTCTCGCTAACTACCTCCGCGCTCGTGAAGTAAGAATATCACACCGAACTCGTTTCCTTCTATTTAAATCAGAATACTTCCGCTGATAATTTGAATCCTTGCGCGTTCTACTAAAATTTACATATTCTGGCATTGGCAGTTCCAGGGGAAAGTAAGGCTTGACAGGAAAGATAGTTTAAACTTAAAATAAATGTTAGTTAAAATAAATATAAAACCCTAAATAAGACGAAATAATCTTTTGTATGATCTTACCCGATTTCAAATGTTTCTGAAATAAATCCTTCAGAAGTATTACAGAAAAGTAAAGTAATAAATCTTCTTCCATCTTTAATCGCTTGATTTTTGCAGAAAAAAAGTTTAAAATGTAAAATACGAAATTCCTTTCTTCTTTTTAATCTTTTTCATTTTTTAAACCTTGATTTGAAAATATAATTATTCAAAATTATAGGTGTTCCACCTACCACAAAATAAGTTGTAGAACCTCTGAAAGTGTAGGCTTGGAGCATATGCCCATTTGCCAGTGTGTAAATCAGGCCCTGTGCCACAAACTGCTAAAAAATTAATCGTTTGGACCGGATGTCAATACTTTGCTTGGTTCCCTCAATTATATAATTATTTGGTTCCTACTAAGGCAGTTTTTCTCTCCATCTATGAAAGCAACTGTACAGAAGAAAGTTTCAAAAAAGCCTTTTTATTTAAATCTTTCTTTAAGTTCAGTAAATGTACTACTTAGGCTCACATATAATGCTCAGAACTTGCGGAATCCTACATAACATAAAATGCAAATTAAAATTCAAGAGAATATTAACATTAGATATTTATGAGGTAAAAACTTATTAGATATTGCTTCAATCAAATTACTGATAGTAACTTGGCTGGCGAGAGGCTAACGACGGAAAACGTAATTCTCCGATCGGCGCAAGGGAATAAATAGCTCAACGGTCAGCGTCGCTACCAAAGCTCTCTCTTTCAGTAAATCTCTTCTTGTGTATATCGTATCTTATTTGCATTCTAAAAATAATAATTTCTGAAAGATTATTCACTTCAGATTCGACAATATAAGTTATATTTAGAATTGAAAAAGGAAAACGTTCATCTATCTGTCTAGAACTCGTAAGTATAGTGCTGAAATTTAAAATGAACACTATTAACGGCTTTATAAGCCTCAGCGGATCTAAAAAGATTACAACATGGGAAAATGTTATTCACCACTGCATTTTGATTTGTATTCCTCCGTGTGAAGGCCTAGAAACTGTTTAGCCCCCCTAGAGAAAATGACTAGTACAACCACTAGATACATGTTTGATTATCAAGGGCTGCGCTGGAGAGGCATTAGAAAAAGGGGAACAGATATGAAAATTTTATTTATTCTTCATATAAATAGCAATTTGTACCTATTTTTAAATTGTGCTTTCAGAAATAAATCTTTATTTCTGTTTTTAAAATAAAAAAGCAGATGTGAATCAGTAAAGAATAAATATAAAACACAATATTTACCCGCATTTTATGCTAGAAATTTCAACTTGATCTGGATAAGTGTCCAGTTTTATTACTATTTAGCATTTTCTGCTTAACTGAAATAAAATCACCTACAGATTGCTCCGTGTTGTAATATAAGCGCTGCTTGTGTTCGCCAGTGTTAGATCGAAGCAGTCGAAGGCTAAAACCGGGAGACACTAATAGTTCGATCCAAGTTTTATTTCAGATCTCGGGTGAGCGGGCCGCCAGTATTTGTTCTTTCGTCTTTTGTCCATGTGCAACGTGAATACGATCCCGTTTCCCTTGAGTCCTCCACAAAAGTATCCATTCTCTTAGGCGGACAACCCTAGTGTACTTTGCTATAAGTCATACTTGTGCCATATAAATTAACCAAATTCCAATAAATTAACCTCTTAATTGCATGAATATGAATTATCATTTTATTAACTTCCCTTATCTGTTTATATTTCTTTTAATAATAACTTTTTTGTTTATTACCAACCGATTCTTAATTGTTATATTGGCATTTAAGCCTATCAAAACTCTTTCTATATTTAAAAGTTCAGAATTTTCTGTCTGTATGTAATATTGTCCCAAAATAGCAACCTTAGCCACATGTAGTCATAGTTCAGTTCAAGAGAGCTTCAGAAGGAAGTTATCTGTGTAAATGCGTGATAATTAGTAATGGTAAGACTACTTTTTCTCTTAAATGATGGAAAAGGTTCTTTATTGTTTCGAGAAATTTCTAAACTTTATCTTAGAACGCATAAATATGTAATTTCTACTCTCTAATGTTATTTAAATACTCGACATTGTCATTATGGAGATCTTCGTTTAGACAAGAACTACTTACTACACTCTAATGGTAGAATTCTGCATGGAATTCATAAAATTCAATTACCTCATACCCTTGGACCCAGCAAAATCAGCTGAAGACTTTTAGTTCTGATCATTAGTAGATCTGAACTCTAGTAGTTCAACCCAGATTTACTTGGGAATTGGTTGGCTTCAGGAAATTTTCCTATTTCCCCGGGTTTAATGTAAATACGAGTTGATGTCTTTTGAAAAACTTATTGTTGTTTCAAATACCTTACCTTTTGCAACTTAACATTCGTCTGGAATTATCAGTACCCGTCGGTCATTTAGCCGACTCGTAACTGCGAAGTTACCCAAGTGGAAATCAAAAGACCACAGATTTTATACCCAAGAGAACAAGATATTTTTTAAAAGGCTTCCACGAAAGCATACCTTCCCTCAGAAAAGAATCCTCGCATGTTTTACCATAATCAATAATCCAATCCGCTCCAGTCATAGATCTGGATATCTTAGTTCATTTATGTCATTCCTAATTTTTCATAATAAAAAATACTTTGTTGTTTCTTGAACAGGTGTTTGGAGTCAAAATGATGAATGTTGGATAAATCCCAAAACGAATGGCATCATCGTAATAGGAAGGAGGTAAGCCATGATCTTCACTATATTGTCTTACTTTAAAATGTTACAACCAGAAGTTAGACATTAATCTATCGGACTGAAGAAATCAATTCCTCTAAATTTCACCCCCCCAGCCCCCAGTGACGAAAATATGAAATGGTACCAATTTCTAATATTTCAAGTATGAATGTTACCTACTTTAATTTAAGAAGCTTAATAAATTCAAATAAGAATTACACGGATATTAACTTCTCTATTTATATATATATGGCATAATTCATAATTTTCATCAATTTTTTCAAACTCGTTTGACCTTTTTTTTTTTGAAAGCTTTCTAATTTTTCGTTCTGAAATCAGATATTTATTCGTCATCTATCTAAAAATCTCTACTTTTTGCTGAGTAATCATATTTATCCCTATGAAGTATTATTTCTTTAAAACAAGTGGCTGTTACAAATATACGAGTAATTCTCAATAAAGTATGTAAGATTTTATTCCAAACTATGTACATACTGCACTTAATGGTGTAGATCACCAGCAAGTGCATCATTGTACTGGATACGCGGACTATAGGAGAAGGAGATGTATACCCATTCGCACATTATGAATACCGTGATCATAATGCTATGAGAAAAAGCCGGAATGGTCAGAAAAGACGACTTCACGCAATTGATGCGTCGCTGAAAGCACCATTTTAGGCGTTAACTCCTGAGTTGTACTGTCAAAAGAAGCTGTAACAATGCGTAACTGATTAATAAATTGGTGGCGTCGTAAATGTCGTTACACCATTTATGCGGATACTTGTTGTGCTTCCAATACGGTTTCCTGACCCAGGATATATGCTATGTAATCCTAAGAATGATGCGAAGTAGATTTTTATCTTATCCTTTGTGATCATTGATGAGTGGGGGCCGTTAAGATCTCTGTGTGGTCCTCTTGCACGCAATCTCATAACAATCAGTATTATTTCGATTAACATGAATAACATGATGTTATTTGCTACGATAATCTGCAATCCCAGAAGACTACAATTCTTCCAAGTTTGAATTCGAAAGCATGCTGGTATTAATTCCTCCTTTTTACATGCGGTATACCAGCGTTTCCAAAATATAAACAAATAAACCAGTTTTCCGAATGAAAAATCCACGTTTCAATTCTGTTATATTCTTAACTACTTCGAAATTCTTATAAATGGAATGGCACATGCTAGGTAAAGCTAATCATTTGGATATTCCAAGCAAGCTCTACTTTTTCATGCAAATTTCAGATCTGGCTGACGCTTTCTTCATCGTACAGCAATTTAAATGTCCAGCAATGTATAAGTTGTCCGTGTCATTCATGAAGCAACCACTTTAATGGCCGCAATGGTGTACATATAACGATAGCAAAAATTTTTCTTTAACTTAATAGCAATAAAATTGGTTAAATTAGTTTTAAAAAGTAATAATATTAATAGAGTAATTGCTCTCTTGTGAAAAAATTCGGAGAGATTTACAAATTGAGAAGAACTTCCTATTATCTTAATTCATATTTGCTTTTATTCTGAAGCTTGGGAATGTGAAGTATTTCGTTAGAATAAGGAATGCATCAGTGTGTTCTCTTTGTGCCTCTGAATAAGCTATGGACAACGAACATAAACACATACTTTGAAGTTAATAATTTTAATTCCGTCCTCCAAGTACTGAATAATAAGACGGCTAGTAAACGGCATTAGACGGCTTAAATCCAGGCACTAGACGACTGAACTAGACGGCTTAAAGCCAGGCATTTGTAAACAAATAAATAAGTATTACATTACTAAATTGCCTCTACATATTGATCATCTCCTAATGATCAAAATTATTAAACCAAAAAATATAATAAAAATTAAAAATATATATATATATATAAATCTGAAGGGTTTTCAGATTTTAAATTCGCCTTTTTTAAGGGACCTTTTTTTACGTTTTGTGTGTTATCTTTTATTTTTAAATCACGTTCTTCACAGTTAAACCAAAAATTTAGTTCAGAGCAATTTGTAAAATTTTTAAACTGAGCATATCTTTCGAATTTCTACCCAATCTCGCGCTCTTTGTTTGTAATCAAAATCTTTAAATATTTACAAAATATGAAATCGATAATAAACACATTCCAATTTCCCTTTGGGCTTCCACATCCCGTGCTCGCAGTAGGATTACGCATCAAATTCGATGGCTCATGTCCTTGTTTTATCGCAATGCGAGAAATATACATACATTTAGCAGAAATTTTCATTATTTAATTTCTTCAATATAATTCGGACTCTAACATTTGGTGGTAAATTTGAAAGTTAAACGGACATTTATAGTGATTCAACGCAAAATCGCAAAACGAAAACAATAGTCCTTCAGGAACAAAGCCCCTTTGGATTAACAATACACCAGATGTGCAATCTATGTCTGCCACAAAGCTCCTGCTTTATTCCATTAAAATGGAAATTAAAGCTTCATTTCATATAAAAATTCTCAAAAATATTTTAACTGAAATGTAATTATTTTTTATATGTCACTTCTGTAACAGTACTTACTTTTCCTCGAATTGCTCATATGTCTTTCTTAATACAAATCTCAATAAAAAATATATATATAGATAGATGTCGCATAATACAAACAACATTTTACAAAATTCTTTTAATCTTCAGTTGCATGTAATGCGTCTGTTATTTATAAAAGATAACGCTTAGTCAAATATTATTTTACATCTACCACTTCAAAAGCAGAATTTTTTTCCTGTTACAAATGTGATGTTTTCCCTGGTTATCGTAAACTACAGCAACAACTCTATGTCTTACTGTGAAAAGATTAAGCAATCGTTTTAAGTTTGTAATATCTCTGCTTAAAGTAATAACTGATTTGCAATAATGCTAAATTATTAATAAATTAATATTCTCTACGTTTTACTGAAAAACTAGTTGAAAGGATTTAGCTAATAAAATTATATATTCATATTTGTTACCAAGAGGTTTATTTAATGTAAAATATATTTAAAATAACTGTTTAAATGTATTAAATCTAAGATTAAATTTCGCAATATTTTTGTCATATTTGATTAAAAATAAAATTTAGGGTTATTTCTATCCTATCCTTTTTTCCCTTAACTTCTATATTTTATTAATAGCATTTCTATATGGTTGTTCCACAATTTTAATTTTAGCCCTTTATGACCCAGAAAATATATAATAGTTGAAAATGTGTTTTTTTTTTCCTTGGTGCATTTTTAAGTATTATATTTAAAAGTATGGCTTTTCAGCAATCAACTTAAAATCGACTTTTTCGCTTATTTTATACATTATAATCTACATAATGTGGGAAATATAAATATAAAAAAATCACCTTCTGTGCAAGTTAAAATAAAAATGTGTAATTTTCACATAACCCAAACATTTTATTAATCATATCTGGATTCTGAGCCGAAATTAAGATTGGAGTAATAGTAAAGTACCTACATAATCATACTTAAACTATCAATAAGGCTCATTGAACGAAAAATAAAACAAGTTCAGAAAGTGCATAATTTTTAGTCCAAAAGGGCAATTTGCCCAGAAGGACTATTAATTTCGT